ATAGTAATTTCAGGCACCCCAGACAGACCTGGAAGAGGATGCATGTCCACAAGCTAAGGTCTTAAACTGGGGAACAAGAGTGACCAACCTTGGGCAAGATAAAGCGTTTCCCAGACACAGTTCTCCATTCTCACCTTTACTGTGGGGATGACTAAGTTATGAATGAAGTTGCTAATGGCCATGGATTAAAAAACTGCACATCAGTGCCGGTTTATTTTGACAGACCTAAAAACTTTGGGGTTATGGCTGCTTCCCAAAAAGCCTAGCCCATCTTGGAGTGGAGTGAGTAAACTCAAAAGAGGGGAGAAAGCTAGACCAAAATAAGATGACTGTGAGCAGGAAACACTACAGCCACGCCAGCATAAGCCATTCTTGCTCCTGAGTCAGAGTCCTGTGTGAGCATGAGTCAAATCCCTTAACTGTGGCAGCAGAGCCACGCAAGATTTGTAGCTACAGCACCTTATTGCGGCTCCTAAGCAAAGCCTAAAGTAGGAAAAAAACCTGTATGTAAAAATTAAACAGCTGACAGAACTGAACAAACAGGAGTGAAACCAGGTTAACATCGAGAAAAACTGTTACCTTACAGGTATGCTTTAGTGAGAAAAACTATCTGAAGACATTCATTTAAAAACAGTCACCTTCCTGTATGTAACCTTTTTTACTTTCCCATACTTTGTGCTGCTGGAAAATTCCTACAGTTCTTTAAAAAAAAAAAAAGGCATCAAAATGTGCCTGGATACTGGCTTGTCACTGGGTGATAGTAGTCATTTCAGACATACGCACATACAGAGAACTGCATATGTAAAATCTACTCAAGCTAGTATGATGAGCAGAAAACCAAAAAAGAATGGTGTGAAAAAAAAAGGGACGGAAGAAATGTAGTGATTTTAGTAGGAATGCACTGTGTATTTTCTGTAAAATATGAAGGGATAACCAGCCGTTTTTTTTGGTGACTGTGGGTCCCCTAAACTTGAATGAGTTTTTCATATTCTTGTGATTCTGTTTACCATATGCAAAACTGACAGTTCTTAAAATATATGTAAATAAGTGTTATTTATAAAGACAGTCCGGTCATAGATGTAATGAATCCAAATAGATTTAGCCTTAGCTCGGTTCAGTGTTATTTTCCAAGCTCCTCTCTTCACATGCAAGAGTCATGCATTTAGAACAGGCTGCCTGAGGTCATAGACAGGATTTAACGAGTGCAAGCCTGCTTAAGGAGGCCGATTTGAACTGAGTGGATACAGAGCCTTATTTATGACACAAACATAATCTGAATGAAATTGGTTTATGTCTTGTTCGTGTTTAAGAGTACTGTGCTACCTTATGCAATATTTGCATTGGAAAATAAGAGATTTGCATGGAAGTGAATCACCAAAATTATTCACAAGGCATTACAGGATTTTACAGTGGATCTTTCATAAGGGAATCAGGATGGATACTGTGGCATTGATTTAAAAATATCATTTGGATGCTATGTGTGAAATTTTGTTAATTTCTTTTAGTAAAAAGACTGTCTCACCATCATTTTGAATTTAAAATATAAAATCTCCTATCTTTCAAATAATACCTTTTGCTCTAGAAGGCTTGCAACCTATCTATCTGCATCACAGTGTTAGTGCAGGCATTGAACATGGGGAGACAATTTAGGCAGAATGAGAAAGCACCGTTTGGAGCACATAAGGTCATCTCTTGAATAGGAGGATTTTCTGCTAGCAGCTGGCACTGCTGAATCTGACCAGTGACTGGAAGGCATCTTGCCAGAAGCTAGGACTTAAAAAGATCTTCAGGCCGGGGAGCACAAAATTGAAATGGAGAGGAGCTGATCAGCTTTTTTTCTAGTTTTAAAGATAGGTCAGGGAGGTGAGTGAGGCAATGATTGATGGGGTTGGCACTTCTGGGTTTGTCTATGGGGGAAAGCTGCACTGAGGTAAATTTAATTAGCTTTGAAGCCAGTATAGTTACTGTAGTGCCTGTCCATGTTATGTACCTTCTTGGTACAGGAGGACGTTTTTCATTTTCAACCTGTCAGTAAAATATTCAAGATAAATAGGAAAAGTCATTCTTACTCTGTCATAGAAGTATACACATGAAAGTTTGTTCTGGTACAAAGTTAGGGCCAAATCCATGCCAGGAAAGATTTGTCAGAATAGCCTTCCCAGCAAGCCCTCTTAAGACAGGGAGAGCCTGTATGAGCAAGAAAAGTGCTTTACCTATGTAACATACATCAGTGCAAAAGTGCAAAATAAGCTGTACCACTTTTGTGCCACGATAAGTGGGTTTCCCCTCGGGCTTTTACCAGTATAAAAAGGATGCAAGACAAAGCACCTTTCTGGCCATTTGTACAGCTGCCAAGGTTACTTGTTACGCCAACCACTATGTCTGTTTAAATTCACATCTACCTTATTTCATACTATGCCATTCTCAAGACTAGTCCTGCATAAAGCCACCACCAGCCACACTAATGCAGTGTTGTGTCTATACCATGGTTACTAATCATGTTCTAATGCAACAGCGAACACACAGAAGAACATTGGTAACACATGGTTTTGCAAAGATACCCTAATGGAGATGACTCTGTTGATTTGGACTTGACTTTACGGCTAAAAAGATCAACTAATTTTTTTTTTTTACCTCAGAGAAACCAACATGTGTCAGCTCTCCTATGCTAAAAACATATTCAAGATAAGATGCTTTAATTTTGTATTGAGGTGAATTTTCCAAGGTCAGTCCCAGGCAAGAGGACTGGGCTGACCTTGCTGAACTAACCTTGTGGTAAAATTAAAGTATCCAGCACTTGGTTGTGTTTCCAGTTTGGCGTATCTGACATATATTAGTGATTTTTATGCAAAAATTTTGTATCTTTTTTTTAGCAGCAAAGACCTAGTCTTTATAATCTGCTTTTGTGTTACCTCAGAAGCAATTCTGTAGTCCACCCTCCACACAGCACAAAGCTTATCAGAGAGACCTAAATCCTACATACGACTGAAATTCGCTGTGGATATCTGTATCTATGACAAGTCCTCTGAACCAGGGAGCGGTATGTCCAGAGTGTTTTGTCATCCTTGGTGATGCAATTTGCGTTTGGAATAATCATGTCTACACAGTGCTCTGGAATCGCTATGTCTACACAGCTGTTACAACACTGCTGCTTTGCATTCTTGGAAGATTCCACGGTTTAGTGCTTTGCCCCTGTTTTTTTTCCATGCTGCTCATTGTGAAAGATCCCACCAGAAGGTAGTGGAGTACTTACCACGATTTCTCTCATTTCATCACAACGTTCGAAGTGAGCTCCGCTTTCAAAGGACTGTTGGGCATCAGGCAAGAAGCACTGAAGACCACTGGGAGTTTCCTGGTGCTATTTGTATGTCTTTAGGGACAGGGACATGTGCACAGCTGAAGCTGAGCAGAGACAACTGACTAAAATAATGCATGAAATGGTGAGACTCAGTAGTGACGCAGAACAGGGACAGCCAGCAATTTCAACAGGGTTTGGGAATATTAACTTTCAAGAGCCTTAAATGGAGAAATTGCCCCGCAACTGTAAGAATGGAACATGTCATAAGAATTTCTCTTGGCACGGTGAAATATACTCATCCATTTTCATCTGAAGGCTCGTGTTCTCATTTGGTAACCATTTCTGCAGAGAGAAGAAATCCACAGAAAAAATGGTCAGGATTATTGTGAAGGAGTTATGCGCAACAACTAAAAAACTGTCTGGCTTATATGAGTGGGCAATGCACAGGCATTTATTGATGAGTTTAAGTATTTGAAGGTAGCTAATTGTGTTTAGGTCATTAATGTGACCGATAAGGCTATTCTCACTTCAGATGGCACTTAACAGAAGGCAGCATTTTTCTATGATGTAGCAAAGACAGATGAACACCATGGGAGACTTACTAATATTAGAATGATGCAATGGGTAGGTCCAAGAAACCTACATTTTTAGAAACGCTGGACTATTCAATGCTGTTTTTTTTCTTTAAGGGAAAATATAGAAAACACTAGTGCTATGATTATTCTTGTGTGTCTGAAAGACTTAGCATACCCATACACCTATGTTTCCCCTGTTTATGAAGCCTTTCACTGGATGCTTAACTAAAGAAAGGCTCAATTATACCCAACCAAGTGGGGTGATTTTAGATCGTGCATTAACAACACTCAAAAACTAGATGCTTGATTGGCAATATCTGCCTCATGTGAGAATTATTTCCTCTATGTTATGCACATTCTTTCACAGCAAAGTAAACAGAGAAACACTGAGACATTTTGAGTAGTAAAAGAAGTAGTGATGGTGCACTGCTCCATTTGATCGGGAAGACAACAGTCAGGGATGCCCTACAATTCAAATGTGAAATGAGTGCAGATTTGTGAACAAAATGGATGCCCTCTTAGGGCAGGAGTAGGGAAATTTGTACACATGAAGGGTTTTAATGTATCATACACAGGGATTTTACTGAATTCTGCAAAGATTTTTATATAATCAAGCAACGTTATGAAAATCATTTCAGAAGATATGTTAGTTAGGGCAAGAGAGCAGGGGAAAATATTCCGTGGAACTGTAGAAATACACTATCCCTTTGGGCAGATGAATGAGTTTACGGGGTCTCACGCTATGCACATTTTATTTGTTGCTTTGCAATGTGGAATGTGGAAGGACAAACTTGTACCCGCAGACTGCTGTTAAAAGGTGCTATGTCAGTAGATACATTGTTAGAGAAAGGCTGACAGACACAGAGCGGGGTTTTGCCTTTGAAAAAAGCGTATTTAGACTTACCTGCTCTCTGACTCCTGCAAAAGCTGTTTCTGAAGGGTCACGACCATTTTCCTCTACTCTCTCTCCTCTTAGTCATGCCAAATTTAACTTTCTTTCCATTTCTCCATCTTTTTATCATTCTGTTGTGTTGTGTACACAAAATCAGTAAACATGCTATCCCTTGAGTTCCTTTCCTTCTTACATAGATCGGACAGGTGTTCAGCCAGTGTCGGCATCTGCGGCCATGGTTGCTGCAATGTGGCATGGGTGGGGAAGATAAAAAGGAACAGGTAGTCATGCCCAAGAAATAGCCTCTGTGCCAAGAATAATAAATATTGCGCTTTCCTTAATTGCGCAATATCCATTCCAAAACAGAGTACTAGCTTTGCCTGAAGATTTCTTTTCTAATACCCGTAGATCAGTATAAAGTCATCTGTTAAATAAACAGGATTCTGCAGTCACCAAAGATAAAAAATGCATAGAATCTCCATAGTTATTAAAATATTTGTGTAGTCAGAGTTGGGTGATTTATTTTGTAACAACTCAGTCCAAAGCTGAAGGCATAATGAAAATAAGCCAGAAAACTTATTCTAGCATTTTTTCTATCCTGTACCTGCTGTTACAATAAACTTGCCTTCTACTTGTTAGGCCATACAGAGTTGCCACCTTGGATATGTACGACTCTGAGGTAAATGGTAGAATGGGAGAGAAAGACAGCAACGATGAAAGACTGTTCAGCAGACTTCACCTAAGGGTTGTTTCACATTTATAAGAAGTGGCAATGAGGTCTTGTACGTTGAGGCACTTTAGCGTTCAACTCCAAAGTTAAGTGCTTTGCTGTGGGTTCTTCAGAAAAGAAAATTCAGTGTCAACTTTCATTAACCAATAGCGATGTAAGACACTAGCTATTCAAGGAAGATGACATCAGTATGGAGGCCATATGTGTTACAGAGTCAGAGGTGGATGGGTATCTTGCTATCCATCAGGAGACATAAATTCAAGAACTGCTGTGAATTTGTGGTGAAGTTTACCCGCAGTCAGCTCAGTTAGGAATATGTCACTTGGGTCAAGGAACCAAAAGCGATCAGATACCACGATGCACATAATACCCCTTGAATGCTCCTAACTATGAAAGGTAGGAGCACTTCAACTAATCCTGGAGGCCACACAGATGTGCAAAAGTTTTCTTGAAGACTGTGCAAAATGGTGATGCATATGTATTTTGTAACCTTTGACAAAGCATCTGTTATGGTAGAAATGCTGTATATTAGATATAAAGAAACGCGTCTTAATGAGACATGGCCATGCATTAATTCTTAAACGTATTAGTTCTTACCATACTCACTGGAAGATGCAGTATGATCATAACCAGATTAGCACATGAAGGCTCCAGCATAAGTACAGCCAACACCAAGAGAATCAGCAGTCAGTAGCTAGCTGCATAAACAAAAGAATTCTGTACTTTATAAGAGCATCAACAAATTCAACTGCTTTTGAGATCTACACCACTCGGCTAGGTGGGTAGCCCTTGGCACAATGCTCTACGCTTCAAAAGATATCAGAGGTATCCAGGCATCTGGCATAGCTGCATAATTTGTAACAAATGATACATGTCTTAAGACTTGTTGCTTGCTTCAAGTCCTTGGTTGTTAGAGATACATTCACAACAAGAACCTGTGACGCTGTGCATGGTTAAGCCTTTGGGACATTCATTGAAAGGCCTGCATGCCATGATTTCCTATCTATGGTGATAGGTAGTGAGAAAGTTTTGCCTTGTCCGCAGGTTTTGTTGGCATAGCCTGCATAAAAAGAGGGAAACTGGTCAATATTGCAAATGCCTTAAATAAATTCTTTTATTTGAAATGCTTTTCAATAGCTAGAGCAGACAAGCAAATATCATCAACAGGAAGGGTATTTTCGAACAGTGGAATTTCACTTAAACACTATTTGTAATGTATTGGTATTTCTGGAGGTCTCCTACTTGATGATGTAAGAAGAGTACTCTTTGTTCAAATTACAGGCTTAATAGCTGCACTGATGATTATCAAACGTATTTCGGTGAGCCCAAGAGTGAATTTAAAAACCTGTGTTGCAAAAAACAGTTTCTTTTGAGGATTTCCTGTCTCTTTGTCACTAGAGCAGAATTCTCAAATGCAAAGGAAATTCTTCACCCACTAGCCAAAGTCTTTTTGAAGCAATCTGTGTACCTAGCTAGCTATTTGCACCAAGTCAGCATGCTGAAATCTTTTGCCAAATTGATTGGTAGGTTAAGACGAGTTATTTGAAATCAGCTTCAGCGTATCCCTTCAGATAGCTCTCTTATGGATCATCCATGCCATTAGGGTTTTATTGTAGAAGGAAACAAATCCATTTTAAACTTTAAGTTTTGAACATATTTTAAATCCTTAAAAACTTAAAGATTAACATTTTCAAGTGTAGTAAAAATAAAAAATAATATTTAGGTAAAGCAAATAAAAAGAGATTAAATGAATTTAATTAATAGTTACCCAAATTAGAGAATGCTGTCTTGATTTATTTAGTCTGATTCATTCAACATACAGTAACCTTAAATATCTACTTATAATCATCACTTCAGTGTAAAGCTGTTTAGTTAAGAACTTCAAGTTCTTCCATGAAATGCAAAAAAAAATAATAAAAAACGCTCATAGAATCATAGTCTAGCTTGCAATTTTGGTGAAGAAAATGAGGTTTTAAATTTTAACTAAAAGTAATAAAAAACGCTCATAGAATCATAGTCTAGCTTGCAATTTTGGTGAAGAAAATGAATGGTTTTAAATAATTTTTGTATCTTGAAGAGTCAGGGGCTCAGCTGCTTCTTTTCCTCATGATTATATAACCAACTATTTTTTTTTTCAGTTAGGAAAGAAAAATGCAGTATGGATGGCCAGATGTAGAAGTCTGCAGTGCAAAGAACTGGATCAGGACTAATCGCCCTAGGCTCCTTTTATTGTCTGTGAAAAAAAAAAGGGGGAAAAAAGAGAGAAAAAGCACTTTAAGGCATGATTCATACCATCCTAATGTGGGCATCTAAAATAGGTCAGATTCATTGAGCTCTAAAATGTCTGTTTTTCTCCATGGACAGAGGCATGGTCACCCTAGGGAATCACTAGCTTAGATGTGGATATCTATGTTATCAAGTAAGGTGAGATGGTTTCCACCCCATGTAACTTTTGTGACCAAGAACAAATATCTATAAAGAAAGAAACATTGCCTCTATAAAAAGGCTTCTAATACAATGATATGTGCTAAAGCTCTTGTTCCACATTCCCTACAATGCCCTAGGATCCTCTAAAGCTTATAGATTGAAATTTCTATCACAGAGGAAAACATGTTGTAACACTGCATTAGCTTTCATTCTGACTCGTGAAAGTGATTGCTCACTAAACTTAAAACTAACACTTGCCAAGAAGTACACAGCAGTGATCCAATTAAAGATGTGCACGCGGAATTCAGTGCTGATTAGTATGTGTATTATAATTAGTGCATACAGCAGTACATCAGTATATTAGTGTATGTATACATATATGTGTATATACACATACTAATAGAATGCTTAAAAGACAATTATAGATAATAACTGTAGTTAAGAAAAACTGAAAGCCAGCAGACAGTCATATAAATTAATAAATTTCACACATTAAGAAATGCAGTATATGGGTATGCAAATTAAATATATCTATGAAAATGTAGGGATAAAGGCAATAAGAACATGTCTTTGTTTTATTCTGAGTTTCTGTAGCACTATTCAGGACAATAGAAATCCTAGTGATGACATAGTTCCATTGCTAGTTGTGGAAAAGAAAAAGCATTCATTGAATATTTCTGTTTTGCATTTAGAAAGGAAAATAGAGTCTGCATTGCCAAAGTATCATCTATTCTGATATTCTCCTAAGTGGATGGTAAAGAGCATCTATTAACTTTTTTTTAATTGGCAGGACCAGGTAACTTGATTTAAAGCTTTTAAAAGGAATCTCGCACTGCTGCTCATCGGCCAAAAGCTTTGGCACACTGGAAAAGTCCGAGAGGCCTGGAAAAATCTAATGCCGTGTTGATATTTCAACAGCGTAAACAGGATGACCAGGGTAACTGTAGATGAGTTAACCTGACCTTGGTTCCGTGTGAAAGAATGGAACAGCTGACATGGGACCCTGTCCATAAGGAAATAAAAAATGGTAACATAATTAATACCAGTCAACGTGACTTTATGCAAAACAGGTTAAGTTAAACAAACTGCATAGTACTTTTATGAGACAAGAATTTTGATCATTTGATTTGTTTAATAAAGGTAACTATGCTGACAAAACAATGTCTTTCAGACTTCCGTTAAGCCTTCATACCACATGACACCCTGATTAAAATATTAGCACTGGAACAAAACCAAGAAAACATATATTAAATGAGACTAAACTCAGAAATTCAATGTGTAGTTCTTAACTAAAACTTACCAAGTATTGCCAGTGTGGTGCTACAGAGATCCTTTCATGTCTGAGACAGTGCAATTCAATGCTTTCACCTATAGCATAAGAAAAAAACCCATAAACTAAATTCTAGTAACATTTCTAGTGATGCAAATGACAAAAGGAGAGAAATTATGAGGACAGATTACAAGCAAGAAGTGATTTAGACAACTTTCTAGCTAAGCAGAAACAATATGGGTATTAATATTGCGAAATAAAGGCTATCTACTTTGGGAGGAGGACATATAGATTACACTTGCAGGACTGAGGAGTGTAATGGCTCTAAAAAAATGGGAAGGCAATGGCTGATGGTCAGTTTTTTAGTGCAAAATAGCACGAAGTTGGCTAACGTGATCCACAGTTTTACTCTGGAAGGGGTCAGAGATGGTCTTCTAATGGGTATGGTGGTCAGCCCAAATTAAGCTCTCCGTAGAGAAAGGCAGAAACAAGGAAAGCTACCACCCAACAAACACACATTACTCTGCTTTGGACTATACGAACAGAGCAGTTTCTCTGGGATATATTGCAAACACAGCGCATGGAGAAATGGTTAGCAGGGGTTACGTACATCTGCATAAATAAGACACAGAAGAACAGCAGGGAGTTTTTCCTTGCTGTGTTTGGGGAAACAAGATTTTGGCTACATTATTTGTAAATAAGATTGCACAACTTTGCTAGCCCTTGTGGTGTTTTTGTTTTGGGTTTTTTGATTTTAGTAAGCACAAAGCAAGTCTCAGAGTGAATCAAGAAGCTCGAGACAGTGCTGAAATTTTTGAGACGTTTAATGGGAAACCCATCCTGGCAGTGTCCTGCTTATTTTCCTGTCTCCTGGTCCCCAGGAATTTGATGTGTAAGAGGTGGAATGCTCCCCTGGTCCCCTCCAGGGCAGTCATCGTTGGCATGGGAGGACAGAGCCGTCTGCCCACCCCCCTCACCCCACGCCCCCAATTCCCCCCTCTTCCTCCGGTCTCCCTTCTCCATCAGAGAAAGACACTAATTTTCCACTCCTTTTTCCCTTCCTGGAATGCTTTAAAAGGGAAAGATGATAAAGAATCTCTGTAGGTCTCACCCCACTCTTGTAGATTGGAAAGGAGAAAGCATATACCAAAGCAGTTTGATGCTGACTTGAGAAGCTATACTGGATTGCATGCAGCCAGCCCCAGGACCCTGACCTCTTAGTCTTGTCCAGTCTCCAGGGCTAGGGTTTTAG